AAGTTTACCTTCTTCCCACGAATACAACGTACAGTCATTATAGCTGTATTTGGGGTATATGTCAGTCTGAATACAGCTATAATCACCGTACATTGTATTCGGGGGAAGAAGATAGTGCCTCGTTCGTTTATCTGTTGGTTCTTCATATCATGTTTAGCTGAACAAATGGTTTCACAAATTAACACAAGACAGAGTGAGAAAACTTAAACTACCAGTACTTCGCCCATACATCGGCTGCAGCAAAAAAATAGAGTCGCGATCGTTTCCACTTGTGAATGAATTTGGACCGAAGCCGCCACGCCGGTTCAGCTCAGCGCGTTGCGGCTCGTATACAGCTGCGACTTTGGAAAGTACTCGTAGTGTTTTTTTTTTTGTTTTTTAAGTCAAAGGTAAACTAAAGGCGCAACCGTGTAACTAACGGTGCAAGTGATGTAAAACGGGGTCGATGGCAAAAGGCTTTGCTCCACTACACAGCACCCTATATGCATCTGGAGCTCATAATACATTCAAATTTCAAAAATATTGGACTCATCAAAATGCACCTGGTCCAGAAAGCGTCCAAATGCATGTACAGTGTTGAGTAGTGGACCGAGGCCCAAAGTCAATCTGACTTAGGTGTCTTTCACTGACAAAATCAATCTGACCTTGGTCTTTTCTGACAATCTTTTCTTTTCTTTGCTTTTCCTGACGATCTTTTTTGCTATTGTGACAGCGCGAGAAACGGTGAGGAAGGAGAGAGAAGTAACGAGCGAGGAGCGGCAGAAAAGCAATGGCATGTCTACTCAACTGGCCATAGCTTAGGAGGGGCATTGGCAACAATCTTTGCGATGGACATGTGCACCAGCAAGCGTGGAAGGCAGGTTTTTGAGAAACAAGGCAAAATGACATTTCCCCCGGGCCCAGAACTACTTGCACATTGTTTTGTTTTTTTTTTTCCCGTTCTTGCGAGCGTTTTTTTTTTTTTTTCTTTCCCGTTCTTGCGAGCGGGGGATAGGGCACACAGTGCAGGTGGCTTTTTTGAGGGTTCGGGGGCGGGGGAACACCAAAGATCCCGGCACGTGCACTCACACTGTGAGGGAGTTGTGTTTTCCCGCCCTCCGAACTGCACGTGATAGTTTCCCGTCATACGGCTCTCTGCCACGAATCATCGTTCGACATTGTTCCCGATAAACGGCATACGGCTCTCTGCCACGAATCATCGTTCGACATTGTTCTCGATAAACGTCATACGGCTCTCTGCCACGAATCATCGTTCGGCATTGTTCTCGATAAACTAGTAGTAGGTATTGGATGCGGTCATCCCGAAGGCCAACACCCAAACCGGTCCTGCCCGGTCTGTCGAGGTAGCCACTTGCCATAGGCAATTACCATAGGCAATGACCGCTCCTCAAATGTTATGCAACCCACCCACTGACTGACCTCATCTGCCATTCTAGAGGGGTCTGCCCCAGGGGTCACTATTTGGAACCCTGTCAGAACTCCACCTCCCATTTCCTTCCTCCCTCCTCATGTGTATTACGAGTAATACATACGAATGAGCATCATAAAGAGAACAGAAAAAATATATGCCGAAGATCTGAGAAGAAAGGAACAGAAATATACCCCCACCTTCGCTCTGTCTCCTTTCATACTAGTGTGCAAATGGGCCGTTATGGCACCCACGGGGATGTGGGCAGCTCATACCCAATCACAATCACCGAGGCGAGCCTTGTGCACGAGAGGCATGGTAAAGGAGGAGAGGGAGCTGCAAATACAAATGAAAAGGGCACCCCAAAGAAAGCAAACGTGAACACAATCAAGAAATATACCTTTCTCGCAAAAACCCGTGGCATTTTCAACTACTACTCCTTTGCGGCTCCCCTGGCGGGCCTGAGTCGTATTATACACTTATTGTGGTCTTCATGTGGTCTTTCGTTATCAACTAAATACAAACTTAGGTCTTTGAGAAAAACAGTGTATCGGTTGGGCAGGGATCTCAAGTGCCCGGAAATGGGTACAACGTTCTATTTGGCTAAGATCAAGTGTAGTATCTGTTCTGATCAGTTTAATATCTGATCCGTGGTCCATCGGACCACAAAAAAAAAGAAAAAAAAAAAAAGAAAAAAAAGAAAGGGGTTTACAACATACGTGCTGGACCTCCTGCCCCAGCACACGGAAAACAAAGCACACGTTTTTCATTCCTGAAAAAGGAAAATAAAAAGAAAGGGGGTTACATGCCTCTATTGTACTTCATGTTGCTTGCTGTGGAGGTCAAACGGTTTCATTGTTGGGTGGATTGTCTCAAATCAACGGCTATTAGGAATCTAGGATTGAATTAATTTGAATATGCTTTGATTTTGTGCTCTCTTCAGTGTCTGAGTGCAGGACCCTCAAGATGTGCCAAATCGTGTGTGCACACTTGTCACGAAGTGCTTGCAACACTATTAGGAGGCATGCTGTGTTCAGGATGCCTTGTGTCTGTGTTTCCTGGTGCTGGCAACCCCTGGCGGTTGCACCCTCCGGGCAGGCTGCCGCCGGGAGGGTGCAACCGCCAGGGGTAGACCAGAAGTGCAGCATATAGCAAGGCAATCAGGCTTGTGGCTCTCTGGCTCTTGATGGTGGTGTGAACCGACGGTCTGGAAGATTTTCCATATGATCTGAGGAGGTGATTGCCGCGTTTGATCCTCGGTGCATTCATGGATTTCCATTCTGTTGTCCCCTGCTTGCCTTGCTGTGTTGCAGCCTGCCCGCTTGTCCACCTACCTGCTTCTTTGCCTGGCTATATGTTGTCTGTAGTGCGTAGCGTGAACGCATATGAATGAGCGTCATTAAGAGAACAGACAAAACATAAGTTGCGATATTTACTCGGCCTCCTTTTATAGCGTGCAAGTGGGCCGTAAAGGCACACGGGGATGTGGCCAGCTGGCGCTCAACCATCATCAACGTGGCCAGCCTTATATGCAATAGCCACAGTAAGAGGGGAGCTGCAAAAACAAAGAAAATGGGAGGCCTCCCAATGTTAGTTGAAGAAAACATAATCAAGAAAACGATATAACGGATTTATTGTTTCTCGTATTGGTTTTACTGTTGGGTTGACCCTTCTCAAGTGTGTTGCATTGCTTGTATAAAGGTGAGATTGATTGCTTGTATAAACTTATAAACGTAAGAGATTCCGGTGGTTTTAGATAGATATTGACTTTACAAGCAAAACTGTTTCATTGGTGGATTGGCTTATCTTAAGCATGCTTCATTGTCTGCAATAGAGGTGAAATTGCTATGACTTTGGTCTGGGTGGAATAGGGGAAGTGATAATTCATCTCACACACA